CAGTTCATAGCTGGTCTGCAGCCTCTCACCTCTTGCAAGGATCTGTGCTGATGCAAACTACCTTGAAACAATGGCAGGAGCAGGACCCCAGGTTTCAGGTGGTCACAGTTGCTTCCCGCTTGGGAAAATAGGAAGATTTCATTTAAAAAAATCGGCTAAAATGATAGACCTCAAGCCACTTTTCCATGCCTTGTGGCGCCAGATTACAGGCCGTTCCTGGGGGAGACGGACTGCTTTGCCCACAAGGCACCCCAGCTTCCCTGGGCCAGAAAGAGGAGTAGGGGCCTGATTCAGCTCCAGGCAGGAGTCACCTGGGCTTCCAGTTTCTGCAAGCACTGATGGGTGAGGGAGGGCATCAGTAGAGGTGGAACAAGGATGTGCTGAGGCTATCTGCATCGTCTCATAATCTCCTTACACGCTGTGCCCATCTCTTGTCCCTGGGGTTGCATCGCTGAGATCAGGGGAGACCTGGCCCCTGGCGACAGCTCCGGGGCCTTTCATGTAAGGCAGACTACCAGCGCCGTGTGCCGGAGGAGAGGCATGTGAACCAACGGCAAGGGGCTCCCTGCCCCCAGTGAGAACCACAATTGAACCCATGTCATTTGCAAACCCCTTGTCACTCGTCAACCTTGATCATCAAAGTGTTTCCCATGCCCTTCATCTGGTTTTTGTGTCTGCTCGCTGATGAGCTCTTAGAGGGAGGCTGCCTGCCTCTCTCGCACCTCGTACAGCTTCGAGCACCGACAGATCCCGAACCCACCCCAACCTTTTGGTCCTTGCTGCTGCGGGAATGACCCCGTGCCGGCCAATTCATTTGCTACATGGCCTGAATCCACCCGGAGAGATCTTTATCCGGTGAGGCAGGGAAAGGGAGTTCTCATCGAGAGGAAGGCCACCCTGTTTTGGTTTGAATACAGCGCTCCAAAAAGGAGGATGACTCACAGAGCCGATTCATTAGGGTGTGAGATGATGTTATCTAATGAGGAAACATTTGATGATGCTTTTAAGAGTCTACGGAGAGCAAGGAACTGGTCACAGAGGAAATAAAAATGTGAAAGCGTTCAACATAAACAGCGTTCAAGAAACGAGATCTGAAGTGCGGAGAGGAGAGCTTTTTAACACCCGGTTGTTTCCACCGGGGACCCTCGTCACTGGTGTTTGCCTTGTGTGGATGTGTTTAAACAACCCTCTCCGTCGCAAGGCAAGACCAAAGAGCCCTCCCCTGCAGAGCAGATGCACCTTTTTCTTCTTTTGAGGTTTTGCCTTTTTTCTTAAAGACAAGCCGCGGGTGAGGTTTATTTAAAGAAAAACTGTCAGGTAGATGTAGGCCCAAAATGTAGGTTTGCTGCAGAGAAGGGTTTGGGGTTTTTTTTTTTGCAGGATGGAGGGCCAACAGCAACATTCCCACTATTGTTCCCTCTTTCTTTCTTTGTTTTTTCTTAATCCGGTTCGGAGAGTTGGCTTGTTTGGCTTCCCCTGCAGCACGTGCAGTTCAAACCCTCTGGGTTTATGCCGGTTCATGGGAACCAGAGTGAAAGTGGCTAAAAACGCCACGAGCAAATCCCCATCCCCTTCCTCGAAGTTGAGCAAAATGTTCAAGTTAACGGCCTGATTGGTATTCATGACCGACAGCCTGGCATGATTGGTAACATTGCCAGAGATTTATTTTGTCTTATGGGCTTAATCCAGGAAGGTGCTGAGGAAGCGAGGAGATAAAAGGCCTCAGCTTACTAGGACTCACCAGCTGGGGAAAATCCATCTGGTTTTTGACCTACGTTGTGATAACTGAATGAATTGTGGATAAAAAGTTGACCTTTCTTCTTTGTCTTCAAGCCACTTGCACCGCTTTGCATAGTTAATACCCAAAGAAATAAAGACAACAGAAACAACAGCAATAATACATGCTGATGATTTTAAATAGCGACGCTTATAATAATTACAAATATTAGCTTCCCTCTCTATCCCATCCCCTCAAAAAAAAACCAACCCAAAAAATCACTTTGTGCCCAAATAGGCCTTGTCTACACATGGACTTGCACTGTTTTCAAACCAGTTGGGTTCAAATGGTGCAAACCCCCCTGAGAACGGTCATGTTTGGTTTGCAAGTGGTTCATTTTGAACGGGCTTAAATCTGGTTTTCACGGATTCAAGCTGAACTGAAACAGGAGACCTTGGAGCAGCCTTTTGCAGCTGTTTAACTAAATGGGTTTCTCTGGCACCTGGAGCTGACCCGGGGCGATGTTCTCATGTAGCCGAGCCTGAAGTCAAACCATTGCAGCTCAGCCTGTAGAGAAACCCTTAGCTTTAGACCCACTTTCAGTTAGGAAAATTGCAATGAGAATAAGCCTACGATCCTCTAAAGACTAAGAGTTGCTCTCTGAGCGCGAGGCAGCTGTATCTCTGATGCAAATGTCTGCAGAAGTGCCAGGAAGCTCATGTGCAGGTGGTTGGGAATCCAGACATCGGTACAACAACAGAATATGCCTCTCAGCAAACACATCAGCGGGCTTCAAAGCTGCGTGTGTGCTGAGCCCAGGCAGATTTAACAAGCGTGCGTGCGTGTGTGTGTGTGCTTGCACCTTCCTCAGTGCCCTCCTCAAACTTCACTGCAGCCAAAGTGAGAGAAAGGGCAGCTGGCATGGCTGAGAAAAGAAGCTGCAGTTTGAACCTGGCAGGACATTCAGAGGCAGCACCTGCTCGGCCTTACCTCGGTCGAAGTCAAGAAGGGCACACAGGCAAATGAGATCCAAATCCAGCCCCTACTGCCATATCACACCAGTGACACACAGAGGGGTTTGATAAGCCTCGGGGCAGGGCTTTTGTCGTTTCATTTACCAATTCTTCCCCCCAAACTCAGACCTGGGATGCTCACAGTCATAAAGAAAATGGTACGGGCAGCAGAGATGAATTGAAGCATAACATCCAGAGCACCAACACAGGGCTCGTGGGACCCCTGAGACACAGCTCTGCCATCTTTGTTCTCTACACATAGCCCACTGAAGGCTTGGCTTGCCTGCAAAGTGCATCTGAACTATAATTCAAGTGCAGCCACTGGCTCACATCTTATCCACGCCCTACCTCGAGTGTGGCTGTGCTTCTCACTTGAGCTGGCTGCCTGGGTCCGTACGGGTTAAAACCGTCGTGAGCGCAGCTGGTCAAGCACTAACAAGAGCACTCGGCAGCGTGGACACACCCGAGCTGTACCCCAGGGCCCCACGAGTCCTCCCGTGCCTTCTCACCATCCCGTCCTGCGTCACAGAAGGACAGACAAGTTCTCCCACATTTCCCCGGAGAAGAAACCTTAAAGCAGCTTGGCTTGCAGCAGTATTGAGGACCACGCAGCGTGATTGCAGATATCTTGGCGCTGAGTCCAGCACCAAGATGGGCATAGATACTCCGGGGCCATATGGCTGTTCTTCCTTGAGACAACTAACCTGAGTACAGAGAGCTCAGCTTAGCTCGGTGGTGAGGCTGGGTGTTGACATCCAGCTCCTTTTCCCCCTGGTCCAGTCTTCTGGGTGCCTTAAATACAATTTATGGCATCCCCCCCCCCTCCCATAACTCACATATGGGAATATTATAGCTGTGGAGCCATGACCCCCTGTTTCCCACCTACCTGCCTTAGAAAGAGGTGTCGCAGAGAGACAACACCCACTTGGCCCTGCTCGCTGAAGCCCAGGGAGGGAGCTCCCCATTCAGAGATGCCCCCAGGCAGGACTGTCATCGAAATCAGAGTCCATCCCATAAAAAAATAACAACCTAGTAGGTTGGATAAATGCAGCCACATTTCCACGTGATGGTCTCTGTTTGTGCCCACCCAACTGGCATCCCAGCACCTGCCAACACCTGCAGGCCCAGGTGATAGCCATATCCAGAAAACATGGGCAAATAGCCTAACATCATCATCATCACAGAGGGATAAGGCTGGAAGGGACCTCAAGAGATCATCTAGTGGGGACGATCTAGTGGGGAGATCATCTCGTGGGGATCAACAGACCTGTACTGGAGTGATGAGCTACTAAAACAACAGGTATAGGATCAGTCTTTCCTCACCTAAGCAAGAGCAGTGGGTTAGCTTCAATGGTAAATTTTGGGCTTTCCTCAGCACTTTGCCACCTGAGAACGTGAGTCATTGCTTTATGGAAAATAGGTCTTGTCAAACCAACCTGATTTCATTCTGAAATTAGGGTAGAGATTCGGGTGATAAAGGTAGCTGTCTTGATGTCGCATACTTAGACTTGTGCAAAGCATTTGAGCACAGGGCACTCTGAGGAAACAGCTTGACACACCATGGGATCAGGAGAGCATATGGTAAATGGGTGAAGAACAGGTTAACTGGCAGATTTTAAGACTTGGATATATCTATGGGGAATCCTCTTTGCCCGGGGTGTCTGCTGGACCGATACTAGGCCCGAGGCTATGCAACCTTTCTATCAGCGATCTAGAAGAAAACAGTACGTCGCGGCTGGTCCGATTTGCAGATGACGCGGAGATTGGTAGGTCCAGAAGGACGAAGCCAGGGCAGTCGTGCAGAGCTGCCTGGATCAGCTAGTAAACCCGGCCCTTTCAGACACAGCATGTGTTCATGCCACCAAATGCACCGCTAGAAATGTAGGAACAAGGACCGCAGGCCGTCGCTCCAGGAAGGTGGGGCCATATCCTGGCAGGCCGTGCCTCTGAATGGCATCGAGGCATCAGAGCGGGGCCAGGCACTGAGCGCAAGCTCTCAGTCGGATGCAATGGCTGAAATGGCAAATGCTGGCAGGGATTACCTACACAGGGAGGGGAGGGAGGAAGAGTAGGAGGGTAATTTATAGCATGGGGGCAGCTGGGAGTGCTCAATCCTGGCGTCCACATTTCAATGTTAAGAAGAAGGCTGAAAAATTGGAGCGCGGGGAGCTGCAAAACTGGCCCGAGAGCTGGAGAGACTGAGGGAGCTTAGGCTGCTCCGCTCACCCAAAAAAAAAAAAAAAAAGAGATTGAGAGGTGATTTGATTACAGCACGTTAGTACTTTCACTGGGGGGAAATACCGAACTCGAAAGGGCTCTTTAGTCTAGTGGTGAAGAGAATAAATAGCACGACCCAATGGCAGGAAGCAGAAGCCAGACAAATTCAAATGATCTGGCAGGCGCACGTTCTCGGGTGTGCTCACGGGGAGGGCGGAGGGAAGAGCACCCATTCAGCCGAATGTCCCGGAGACAATCGAGCGCTACATCGCTTGGCTGGTCAATATGACTGCCGTGCCTAAGTCACTTAAGCTTTTTGGAAAAACCCATCCGGAATTACGACGAGCGATGTCCCACGCACGCTGCTCTCTGTGCTTTTCTGCCAGCACCGTCGGGTTGCAGATATGCACCGACCGTGCTGTAGTTCAGCTAGATTGCGAGAGAAAGACAGAGACAATGAGCAGTCAGCAACTCCAGGGCATATCCCTGTCCTGAAGCCAAGGCACGGGGCGGGGAGGACATCATGGCAATGACCCTAGACTGAGTTGCACAAGCAGAAAGGTTGCTCGTGCTTGCTGGACTATGGTCCTTAGAGGAACCTGTGCCAATAAGGGATCTGTGCAGTGGAGCCCAGTTCCTCCACATGCCCTGCCTTAGGCTGGGGTGGGCAGCTGGCCTAGGAGGTGTTATGGAAACTCTCAGTGGACGAGTCCAAATCCAGTCCCTTGGCCTCTTCTGTGCCGTACAAAGGGACTGGAGCATGGTACAGAACTAACCCAGGGCATGGATCTGGGACATCACCCCCTGGCGTCTCCTGATCCTACACAAGACCCTCATTTCTCCAAGAAACGCTGTCCTTGGGTTTGCAAGACCCTTTCCTGGAGTGACAGGGAGGTGTGGGGGTGGCAGGGAATGAAGAGGCATGGCCCTTATTTCAGCAAACACACGTGCCACTACAACTTTATACTCACCGGGGGTAACTTGACAGCCCCGAAAAGGGCGAGGCAGGTGGTTTAGCATCCAAGGACGTTATGCAAAATCTGACTGCTTTGGGACTGGGTGAATGGAGCCACCTTAGACAGGGAAGAGGGAGCAGAGGAGTGGGGCAGAAAGCTTTCTAGGGCGGAGGGGTTTCCATGCCGCCTGCTCAGCTGTGGCATGCTAGCAGCTGAGCAGATCTGGTGTCTGGCACACAAGTGTTTGGCCTGGTATGCACCGGCCAGCGAGCAGACCAAGTCAGGGAGCTGTGTGCGTGTGTCGGGGGGAGGTCCCATAAAAGGGGGTGGGAGAGCCAGGTGGCAAAGGACTCCAGGAGGCGATGAGAGTGTCCGGTGCCCGTGGGTCCTCATTAGGATTGCAGCAATAGTGAGGGTAACTCATCAGGAGCTCTTACGCTTCAGCCTCTCACTCCCAGCCCCTGCCCGCTCCCCACGTCTGACTCACTGGATCTGAGTCACACACCGGCGCTATTCCTGTCCCCTTCCCTTCAGCCGGGGAAGAGAGATGTGTTTTGGCTGGGACGATCTGGGCACCGGAGGGACCATCTGCTGTTAGTTCTTGGTTGCAGCACAAGGAAGAGCCTCTCGCTTTTGTTTCAGAGAGCCTGGGGGGAAAGGAGGAGAGGGAGGCGAGCACCATCGTACATCCAGACAAGGTGCCGGCCTGACACGTGCCTTCTGGACTGTAGGACTATGAGCAACGACTGGTTAGGTATCTCCATCAGTTCTTCCCACGTGGTTTACCAGGACACTCTGCCCAAAACACGTACCTACCTCGGAGGTCCGTGGGTGGCTTGTCTTTGACCAAAGTCTCTTACCCCGACGCTGGCCGAACGCAGACAGCGCACGCTCATCTGTGCTCATGCAACAGCAGGAAAAGACCCTGATCACCCAAAGAGGAGCCTCTGTAACCCACTTCTGTTGCTTGATAGGAGCAAGGTGGGGAGGCTGCAGTGGTGAAGAAGGGATCAAAATGCCTCTCCATGAGCGTGCGTGCAGGGGTGGTGGCGAGCTCCTGCTGGAGATGGGTGCAAGGTCCCATGAGCCTGCAGCCTGCTGTGGCTACCTTGTGCTTTCCCTGCCAACAGGCCTGCCCCTTCACTGCTTGCTGGGTCCCGGGGCACAGGTCTGTGCATCTGTGCAATATGCCACCACCTGGGGAAGGGTACCCCTAGCACCCATTTCCAATCCAGCAGGGAAGAAGAGCTGGCCTGTTATCCTGCCTTGATTTGCAGTGCTATGGACTCCAATGGCAAGGAGTCGAATTGGGCAAGCTCTGCTCACTTTAATGCCCAATTGTAGACACACCAGGGCTTTCTCACCTGGTGTAGGTTAGCACAGCCTGGTGGGGCCACAGCCCCTGCAAGCAATGAGATGAGCCCAGCAGAGTGGATCTGGGTATGAGTCGTCTGGCTAGTGAAAGGCTGTTAATTGGTGACGTGGTGTAGCCATGTGTTATTATGTGTATTGTAGTAGTGCCTGGAGATGCCCTGGCAGCACATTAAAAGGACAGTCCCTTCTCCAGGGACCTTACAAGCTGCAAAGATATCAGTGGGGCTGATAGCAAGAGACAGCCATGCAAAGCCAAGAGAAACCCTTGTTGGGAGGGGTGGGCTCTTCCAGGACTCTCCTTCAGTCCCAAATTTTGCAAAGGGTCGAATCTCAGGCTGCAGCACCAGTGATCCCAGAGCGGCAGGTCCACCCCGGCCTCCAGCCAGCTAACTCCTAGAGAGTAGCCTTGACCCAGTGGGAGCTCTACACCTGGGCTGTGGCTTGAAGGCTCGTCTGCACCCGACTGCCCCGGCCCAGCCAGTCTCTCTCGGCTGGGGCCTAAAGGGCCCCCCGCCCCCCGCCTCCCCCGCCCCAGCCAGTCTCTCTCGGCTCTGGGACTCGATGCAAAAGAGGCCTCCACTTCAATCTGGACTTTCTCCTAAGGATATCTCATGGGAGGATAAAGCAGAGTTGCACAGGTTATCGAGGCATGCCATCAGAGGGGGGAGATGAGCAGAGATGGCCAATCCCCACTTATCATTCATGCCATTTTTGACCCCAGATGTGTCTAACAAGGACTTTCTTGGTACATGTCCTTTTGCCAGCGCTCCCAAGAGCCCTGGCCTTTCCGCGCCGCACCGTAATGGTCTCTGCGACTTACCGCTCGGCCAAGTTTAGCCCTGAAGGCTTTGAATAACGTTCATAAACCTTGCTAAAATGGGTGGCATTTAGCGAGGGGCAGACGTATGCTACCTTACGCAGCTGTATTTGCAGCTCTCCCCACTTCCCCACCTCAACCATAATAACCCAGGCATACAGTACGACTCTAACCGCATGTCATACCCCACCGCTGCCCCTTAACTGTAAACCTCCCATCTGCCGCTCTGCAAAGCGCTATTTTTTCTGGCTCGGGGCACGCAGACAGCCCGTTTGACACGACAATAGTGCGACCCTCTTCCTTTGTGAATGGTCTAGTTCTTTTACGCGATCGGGTTTATCTATTTCAGCCGCTTCGCTTCGGTCCGATGACTTCTCTGCTCCTCCAGGCGACTGCCCACTTCCCCTTTTTAGGTGGCCATTTTCATTTACATAATGGGGTTAAGCAAAAGTGATTATTCGCCCTTGTCTGCCACTCAGGCTGTACCCGCTTCTTTCCCAGACATGATGGTGGCCCCAAAAGCTTTGTCTAATATCCCCCTGACTAACTATTGAGCTGGTTCAATAAAAGGTACCGTGAGCAAATCCTGCTCCCTGCATCTTCCCGACACCCTCGCGGCTACGGAGATGCCACAACATAACTCATGCTCTGGATCACAGCCCCAACGCAGCGGAGCCACTTAGCAGCAGCCTGTTAACAGTGTGTTTGCTTCAGACCTCGCCAGATAAGACACATGTGTTGACTAGGAAATGATTATTGTTACCTCTGGCCCTAACTGATCGAGTGTAAAGTACACAGCCTGCTTTCCCCTTCAGTGAGCTCTGAAATCCTCACTGGAGAAGGCTCATCCTGCCAGGCAGCAGCGTGCAGTGCTGTCCTTGCATCTCTCTCAGCATCGCTGGGCACGCTACGCCTGTCCCTTGGGGCATGAAGTTCAGGGGATGTTTTCCAGTGGGAAACCCCAGGTTTGCTGATGAATGCTTGCTCCATCCCAGCTGGGGTCAGGACCCTCTAGATGAGATGAATCCAGAGTCGTTGCCCCTTTCTGGAATACCGCCCACCCTGCCCTTCCTGCCAAAGGTCACCCCTGTGCACAAAGCATCAACCAGACCCCTGGGTCCCAGCAGGCAAACGCCAATCCCCAACCCCAAAGGGAATGCAACAATCTAGAGCTCTTGGCTCCAATATGATACCTTTTTAATTAAACCAACTGAGAAATTGCAAAAAAAAAAAAAAAAAAAAATCTTTTTCTGCAAGCTTTTGGGCTCACATGCCCTTCATCAGGCTAGCGGGAAGTTCAAGATGGTAAAGTTCCCTGAGCCTGATGAAGGGCGCATGAGCCCGAAAGCTTGCAAAAAAAGACTTTTTTTTTTTGTTGCAATTTCTCAGTTGGTCTAATAAAAAGGTATCATTTTGCAACCAAGAGCTCTAGATTTTTGCATTTCTTTTTGCCTCAGACCAACACGGCTACCACATACATCCCCTTGACCCCAAAGGGAACTTTTCAAAGTCACTGAGGAAGAAGAATCAGAGCACCAGGCAGATCGGAAGTGGTCCTTCAGATCTGAATCTCTCACGGGATGATGTTTAGATGACAGGATGATGGAGGAGGCAACAAAAAGCTAGGTCGGTGCCTTGTCCCACCCCAGCTTCGCACACAAAGCATCTGCCCTTCCCCCTTTCCATCTGATGATGTTCAGTGGGGAAATCCCTGTCCCACTCAACCCAAAAGCAAACTCCCCATTGGATTAGGGCTCAGATTTGGCCCCCTGGTCTCAGCTTTGTATCTGGAGTTGAATCTGTCCCTAGGAGCAACCTGAGAAGTGGGCTCAATGTCATAGAAAACCTGAACTTTGGTAATGATCCTTCAGAGCCCCCAGGTAAGGCTGGGCCATGTAAAAACCTGTATCAAGAGCTCCTACCCGGGGGACCCCGATCCGGGAGATTAGGAGTGAGTCCTCCCAGAGTCAAGGGGGCACTTCTGGTGATTCAGATCAGACTCAGAAATATCACCAGGAAATAACAGGAGTATAAAACTGGTGCAAGCAAGAGATTGGCATCCAGCCCCCTTGTTTTTAAATGAATTGGAGGCTCTAATGATTGAAATACCTTGAGATATTTCCCCACCAACTATGACATGCAGTGATTAAAACACAGAGCATGAGCGAACTAAAGCAATAATTACTCCTTTTCTTCCTCCCCCCTCCTCCCCCGGGTCTATCTGAATGCATTATGAACCAGCTCGATGAACTCGTCGAGAGTAAGCCAAATCCACTAAAGGAAAAAAAACAAACACTGGGAGGTGTGTATACCGGAAAAGACACAATCTAGGCTACCAGTGTCGAGGGCGAGTTGTATAACGAGAGCCGACTGTACCTCAAAAGCCATGTTAGCTTGAATGAACTTATGTAATAAACATTTATCACAGAACATATGTCATTGAGCACCTGCCAGACTTGAGGAGAAGAGCCAACGCAGCTTGAATTGTATATGTATTACAAAAAAAAAAGGGAACTTGGCTGAGGGAGGCTGGCAGACGCTTTTTACTAGAAAAATCAGAAGTGATTTTGAGAAGAGCAGAAATTTCCTGAAACTTCCTTCCCTCTGGGTGGGACCATAGCACCGGCGAGAAGCTGACGTGGCCCCGGGCCATCGGGACTGCAAAGGAGCATCCTCCAGACGGCTCTGCTATCTCTTCTCACCTGTGACCCTCTCCTACTACTCCACTTAGGGGCTCCCCGCACTCCTGATCTTCTTTTAGGACCCATCTAGACAAAGCCTTGGCTGGGATGATGTAGTTGGGGCTGGTCCTGCTTGGAGCAGGGGTTGGACTGGATGTGACCTCCTGAGGTCCCTTCCCACCCTCATGGTCTATGATTCTTCTCCCCTTGCTATTGTAATCTTATTCTCCCCACACATAGCTGTGCCCATTATTGATGTCATGCATTATAGTTTCTACTATAGCCCCTAGGACCCCAAAAAGCCCAAGACCCACTGTGCCAAGTGCTGCCCAAAAAAGACGTTCCCTGCCTGGAACATCTCATTGCCTAAGGACAAATACAACTGAGAGATGCAGACAGGAGCAGGAGCACAAGGAAATAATTAATCAGATAGCTTTCCCCAGCATGATGGGCAGGGCATCAGCAGCCTAACCTTTGTCCAGGTGTCCCGGCCAAGGAGAGTTTTAAGAGGGGAACAAGGAGGTGGTGCTGTGGGTGTCATGGTGAGCTCTTCCCAGGCGGGGAGGGAAGCGTGGAAGGGGCTTGTCTGAGTATTTGAACAAGCTGGTGATAGAGGCTGGCGTCTCTGTGGGAGTCATCATCTCCAGGGCGAATAAGAGAGGCCAGGAAGCCCACTTCTGGGCCAGAAGTGCAATAGTGCCAAAGGAGCCCAAGAATGAATGGGGATCGTATAATCATAGGAAAGGAGGGCTGGAAGGACCTCCAGAAGTCATCTTGTCCAACCGCTGGCCTGAGGCAGGATCAGCCCTATCCAAACCACCCTATACAAACCCTTGTGTAACCTGTTGACAAAACTAGTCAACCCTGTTGCACGCCAACAAGGTATAACTACCTTAACTCCTACAGGTAGCGCATGGGGAAGACGGTGGCCAACATCCTGCTGCTGCCGGGGTTGTTCAAATATACTACAGAGATCCAAGCACGAGGCCCATGCCGCCTGCTACGGAGGAAGGTAACCCTCCCACCCAGTCCATACCAGTCAAACCAGGGGGTAAAATTTCTTCCTGATCCCAAATGTAGCAACTGGTCTGATCCTGAAAGGAGAGGCAAGACCCTCTGGGTTGAAGCCCCAGCAGGAGCATTGGCAAAACCCAGTCAACATCCCCAGCCTGGGCTGCAGTGCTTCTGGGGAAGGTGAAAAGAAAACCCCGACACCTGTAGCAACAGGTCCATCCTTATCCACAGCACTCCCTTCATCCACCCACCTAATTATCTGATCAACGAAGGAGGTCAAGTTTGTTTGGCACAATTTGTTCTTCGTACATCCACGCTGGCTGCTCCTGATCAGGTGCTTGCAAATGGACTTCCTTATGATAGGTGCCAGTAACTCCTTGAGTATCGAGGTGAGGCTAACTGGGGTATGCAGCGGCTCTGAATTAATGTAAGCTGGACATTAGCAGATCATTTCTATCCATGACAGCAGGGATGCTCTGGTACAGCCCGCCAGTACGGGCTACGGGGGCAGGAAACCTATGTTGTTCAAAGGAGAACTTGGTAAAGTCTTGAATGGGATTATATGAGGTGGCTGTGTGCAAGAGCAGAGGGGTTGGACTTGCCCGAGAGGTCCCGTTGAGGTTTACATCCCACCTACGTCCCATCTATGCTGGTTGCTGGTTGTGAGAACCCGGCGGGCGGTGTAAACTCGAATGGCTGTGGGCCTGAGCGGCAGGCAGAAAAGCAGCATTGCAGAGAGAGACGTGGGGCAGGCAGCTATGGGCACAGTAAGCCAGACCTGCACATGCCACCCCATGCTGACCTTCCCTCCAGTGCCCCTCCATCATGCCCTGCAGCTGCCCCCCACGTCTGCCTCGACTCCATGCTCGTGGCCTCCCCCAGCCTTGTCCAGGAGCCCAGAGCCGACCAAATCTAGGAACTGACCTACTGCGGTGAATTAGCCACTTAACTTCCCCCCTCCCTCCCCACTCATCCCTCTCTTTTTCCAGTTTTGCAAACCAAGGGTTATATCCTGCAGTCCCTGCACTGCCTGAGCAAGGACTGCAAGGCTCGCTCCAAAGTTTTTCTTACCTGATGCACTCAGCAGTAGATAGTCTTTCCCTTTCCAGTGCTTTATCTATGACTAGGTGCCAGAAGTGAGGCTTCAGGCCTCAAAATCCAGTAAATGAAGAGCTCTGCAGTGCTGGGGATGGCAAAGGTGGGCACGAGGGAAAGTTGAGCCATGAGCAAAGAGAGATCCGGTGGTAGGGATGCTGGTCCCAGTGTCAGGACCTGCAGAGGGGAGGCTCTTGCACCAATATATGAAACCCCAAGTGACTGCAGAGGCAGGCAGAGCTGCAGAGGCAGGGACAGACCTCATCTACGAGGTAGGCTGGAGTGAGGATTATGCCTCCCCAAACCAAGCAATGCACTCTGCTTCTCTGTAGGGAGTGGCATGAGATGACCTTTCCAATGCTTTGGTTCCCTAGCAGTGCATCTGAAGCGCTTATACATGCCCCGTGACAACCACATCTGAGCATCTCACAGCCTCCCTTGCATTTAGCTCCACAGCTGTCCTGGGCACCAGGGGAGTGTGATTATCCTCCTGTTAGAAATGAGGACTTGAGTAGGTAACTTGCTTACGGTCACAGTCGGTCACACGATAGGGAATCTCTTGATGAATCCCTTCACTCACAGACCATCCCAGCCCCGGCAAAGCTCCGGGGCGTTCAAGAGCACCGTGCTGATGGACTAGATCAGCTCAAGATCTGGTCCAGAAAGTGGAAGCAGAGAACATGGAGAAGAAAAAGGGAAGAAAACAGACAAGCAAGGCATAGGGGAGAAGGGCGAGGTGGGACGAGGGATCTACTAGGAAGAGCTATGAAGATGGCTTGGCCGTTCTGCATCTCTGCAGTGGAAAGAGGGGGAAGCCCGGGCTAGGTCTGAACACTGCTGGCCACCCAGTGCAGATTGACTCAGAGCCTCGATGCATGT